ATGTTGAGAGAAAGGTCTCTGTCTCACCTTTTCTGCTAAATAATGAGTATGATTTTTCTGAGAATCAATACACTGGAAGCTTTCTAGATAGTAATTCTCCAGTTCTTCAGTTGCTCATAATGTACACATATATATGCACAGCCTCCAAAAATCCATTTTAAAGAAACACCATTCCTTAAACACACAGCATTACAAAGGCTTTATATGTGCAGCCCCTGTAAGCTTAAGAAATATGATTAAATTGCACATGGGTAGACATGTAACATCACAGCTTTGCCATATAAAGTTCCCAGGGCCAAAATTAACCTCCATGTAATTCTGTATTATTATTGCTTGAACTAGCCCTTTTTTTTTTTTTTTTTGCTAAGATCTTAAAACCGCAGTGTTTATAGAATCATGCAAAAACTTAGTAGTGAAAAATAAACACACAAGCCTCAGCATTAGCTGTCTCAGAAGATACTTTAACATCTTCCCATAGGAAAACACAATGGTTTTGTTTGGTTTTAAGTTTGACGTCCATTTCTCCTGAGAAAGACCAGTTATAGACTAAAACATGCTCATTCAGTGAAGCCAAGACCATGGGCTATTTCAATAACCCTTAACTCATTCATCTTCATCTTGAGCCTTCTCCTCATCACCTTATCCCACGCAGATCTTACCCACTTTTAGTTTTTGTTTCTTCCTTGCTGTCATTCTTTTGTTTCAGGTGTTCGGCATAATAAAGATAACACCTAATAATTATCTATACAGATATTGTTTTAAAAGCGGAAAAGGTGGCGGCCTTGACCAGGAATGGTGGGTTTTCATAGAATAGCTTTTTTCCCAAATCTGGTGCTATTTGCGGTGTATGAAAACATTCATCTCCATAAAAGAAGTAAGAAAAAATAACAAGACAGGATTTTGATCAATACCGATTCTGGTTAAGCTTGATCACAGCACTTGACATTTTGAGCAAGTCTGGAAGTACACTCACAGAAAACTCAGGGTCTAAGAGTCTCTAGCAGTGTAACAGGACACTGCTGACTTGGGTAGGGAATATTCTGTCAACTTTTTTGTTTGCCTTATATGACTATAAGGCAATAAGACGCATTAACCTAATTCTGTAATTAATCTCATTGCCAAACCTTCAGTAGTGCTGTTATATTGCTGATTTATTTTAGGCTTTTGCTTGTCTTCATTTTTAACTTGGCAGAAGGAATGATGGTTTTATCGAGGTGTTTATAGATAAAAAAAACACTAAAAAAAATTAAAAAGTGTTTGAGATCATTGTATATGAAAATGGTCATGAGATGTCATCAAAGTAACACCCAGGGAGCTGGTGCAGGGATGGGCAATGTGTCACTTTTAGAAAGAGCAGTGTTCATTTATAATCTCATATGGACATATGAGAGAAAGTTGTAAAGAGCAGATTTTTTCAAGCTGCAGAAAATGAGGTTCATAAAAACATGCATTCACTAATCGCTATATGTATAAATGAGCAGGGGTGTTGTTAATGGTTCCTTCTCCTCTGGAGGCCCATACTACAGCATTAAAATGTGAATAGGACAGATGTAGACTCCTAATGTGGATGGGTCGGGGATCCAGATCTGATCTTCTGTTCATTGCACCTATTTCTTTTTATCGCTACATGTTTTATAAAAGAAAGCTCGGTTAATTAAAAAAAAAAAAAAAGCAAAGAAACAAGAGTTTCCAGGCTAACTTTCCTCGTTTTAAACTGATTTTCAGAGACAGTCAGGCTCCTTCTCTTCTTTATCTCTGAGGACTCATTCCCTTCCTTCTCACATAAGACAAAAATCTTTCTGAGATACTGAATAAGGAAGACTCTGCTCTGTGTAATTCTCATACTGCACTCAGCACTGCTGTGTTTGATGGCATCCCAGGAATATATTAAGCGATGTGACTAACCTCTATCACTTGGGTTTGGGTTTTTTTTCTCTCATCTTCTTCTCCAGGGGGAGAAGTGTGTTCAGTGGAGTGTTTTGTTTGGAATTTATTTTACTTATTTTGTGCTGTACATAGGCACATTGCGGTGTGTTTTTCTTAGAGAAACAAGGTCAAAGAAACGCATCTTGCACTATAACAAAGGTGCTAAATTTTGTGAGAGCCCTTCATCCGTGTGGGAATTTATTAACTAACATTGATTAGCTGACTGGTCCCCAAGTGTCGTAGCCAGGACACCAAGAAAGCTCTGCTACATGCGAAGGTGAGCTGCACCCTTCCTACAGGAAGTCTGAGTCCACCAGGGAGGAGGTACGTTCCTGGTCTCCAGCCCAGAGGTCGCTGTAGTCACCATGGGCTCAGGCCACTGAGCATCCTCAAAGACTGCCACACTCAGCTCTGAGTGTGTGCCCTCTGCTGCTGATGCAATTAGAAGATAAATCTTGAATGGCTATCACTGGATCAGAACTGGTAAATTGCTTGGTTAAAAAAGAGAAAAATACAAAAAACAAATGTGATGCTCAAATTAAAGCAAACTTACTCTGTGTACCAAGCAAAGGGTTGGATAAATGTGGGAGAAGGGGAGGTTTACTTTATGAACTCTGATTATCTCATGGGAAACAACCTTCCATTTGTATTTAGAACAGAACAATTTCTAGCTTTAAGGCACTCTTTTAATCAGCAAGCTCATCTGATGAAATGCTGGAGGATTTACTTATATATCAAAGGAGTTCCCTAGATATTTAAGGGATGCAACTGAATACAATTAAAAGATCAGTTGTAAGCACAGTTTGTGATACGGTTTGTTTGCTGTGCTTTGTGAGAGAAGTTTAGTTAATAACATGTGAACTTGTGGTGTTTTAGCAGATAGTAAAGTATTGAACTGTATTACAAGAAAAGCTTTACCATTGCGGTCGCCTACTAGAGATGCAACTACTCAGCTGTCTTGGATCTGATGGTCTGTAAAAAGAGAACAGAGAAACTATTAAGCCAAGGTTCACATCCACGAATGGAATCATTTATGAACAACCTTTCTGGGCCTAATTCGTTGCTGAATTAAACCTCATCTAATGTCATTGAAGTCAATGGCGTTATGCGGGGCATAAGTCAGTGGAGCAAATTAGCCCTCTGTCCTGAAGCCAAGAAACCAAAGGGAAGAGTGATCCAATAAAAGAGAGATGAAATGCTGATACTAGCTGAATGCCACTGTTCTTGGTACAGTGCGTTCTTTGTGTCCAGTGGTGAATATTTCATCCTTCCCAGGTGTAAAATCTTCCCAGCCACACTATAACACAGATTTATAATAAATGACAAAATTAATGATTTAGTTCTGTTGTAATGCAGCTTCTGGGCTCCCAACAGGAATCTGTGCTGGCTGCAGTGTTATCTCCAAATCAAGTCTTGATCTCTTCAGAAAAGTCTCGGGGCTGGCCTTTTTTTTTTTTCCGTTAGCCATCTCTCACCCATACAGGTGTTAGAAGCTAGCATTCATAGATATGGGGAACTTTCTACATAGAAAACTGAGAGAAACACCAGGAATATCTGTGTAAGAGCTGGAGTGAATTAGGCACAGCCACTGTCTCCAGCGTGAAGGCACTAGGAAATGGAATGGATTTATTTTCATTTCATGTATACAGGTAACATTAAGGGCTCTAAGAATCCACAATATTGCAGTGATTGTAGGTGTGCCTTGGATTAATGAAAAAAAAATCCATTTGCACTAACGAGCATTCAGAACAATACATCGTCTTCTCTCAGATTTCACCCTTTTTACTGTCTGACCCGCTGATTACTTTGTCTGAAATTAAGATCATCATCTCCCTCAGCCAGAGATCGTGGGTTTTGCACCACACACACAGAGAGCTCAGTCCTGGCTGGAGCCTTTAGGCATTTTCATTATCTGTATAAAGAACTAATTCCCAAAGTCTACAGCTGGGTTTGCAGCTCATGAAAAGATCTCTGTGAGGTGACCTGTACAGAATAACATTTTGACAGCATGGCTCACTTTTCACTACAAAGAGATCAAACAACCTGAATTCTTTTGACGTCCTACCATGCAAACTTCAGTGATGAGCTAAAGGATGAAAACCGGTTTATTGGCAATCAGTAGAGAAAACTCTCCAGACCTACATGTAAGGGAAGCTGTGTAAAGCATGCAACACGTGGCACATGCTGCTGCTCCAGTATTTGTTCTGTTGCTTCTGGTGTAACTTCTCAGCGATGAGAGAACTTGGAGGAAGGACTAGCAGAGGACTCACATGATACTTGGCCCATGGCATGTGCGATATTGGCCATTTATTCCCTTTTTTTCTTTTTTCAGGTGATAATGTAAGATAAGCAATCTGCCATGGTACTTGAGACCACTCCAGATTTACATTTTCCTTAAATCCTGTTGCTCCTCTTTACCATTCACTTCTGGGCATGCTCTGAGGAGGGGAATGAAGGGAACGAGATTTTTGCCAGCTGCAGCATGAGACGCTGATGTAAACACATCCAGACCTATCCAAAGTGCTAGATATGTCTTGAGGCTTGGGGGCTATTGCAGATAGGGGAACAAGTCCCACTAATCTGAAGCCCTAATTTCAAGTGATAAAATATCACTATAAAGCCGGTTTACAAGTGCTGGCAAGGTTCTGCTAAAAAACAGAGTTCTGCTAGAGGGTTGGGTTTTGTTGGATAACAAATCTGATTTTGACAGAAATATTTACATTTTCAGTGGCTAAGCATCCATCCATCCAACCACCTATTTGGTTTTCTGGTTTTCAATAATTAAAAAGAAGCCAATTCTGTAATGGAAAAAAATTATAGATTTTTGGATGTTTTAATGAAGGGCGTGTTTTTCAAGAAAAAGGTAAAATTTTCCTGACTATTTCCAAAAGAATCACATAGAATAAGAAAGTGCACTTATTAAAATTACCAAACTGTTGTAAAGAATTATCATTACCTCATCAAAGAGTCTGGTGAATTTTGTTATTTCTGTTTCTGTTGTTGCTTTTCTAAAACCAACTCTTGTTTTTTTATTGCATTTGCTTTACATCTAACACTATTACATTTTGTTTCAGCTGGCGGGCTTCATCTATGCCTGTTATGTTGTGAAATGTATTACTGAAGAAGAGGACAGCTGTAAGTACTAAAGCTTTATTACATACAAAATGAATTCTTTTTTTTTAAATCACCCCCCCACTATGCTGGCTCTTGCTGACTTCAACCTAAATGTCTTATTATACTGTAGCCAGAACATGCTTTCTGTCCATCCTTCTTGATCTAAAATTTGCAAATGCCTGAAAGACAAAGGAGTCATGAAATGCAGCTTAAAAAATACATACTCGTTTCTTCTGAAAAGATCATTGCAAATTTTTTTCCTCACAGCTTAGCTTAAGACAAAAAATAAAAAAAGCAATCCCAATTGGCAAACACAAGCTTTTTTTGGTTTGGTTTGTTGTTTTGTTTTTTTTTTTTATTCCAGGTTGTTATTAACTACCTTCACAGTAATTGGTTACCACTGAGGGTATAGCTCTTCTATGTTGACTTCTGTGTTGGCTTGTAGAAGCACTTCTGGCAAAAAAATATCTTTAGATCATTGCAGGACCTTCATTTATGAGAGGTGAAACTGTGGAGCTCCTCTTTGTTCCTGCTGCTCCCAGGGTACAATTACAAGGAATGAAGGTTGTTATTAACTACCTTCACAGTAATTGGTTACCACTGAGGGTATAGCTCTTCTATGTTGACTTCTGTGTTGGCTTGTAGAAGCACTTCTGGCAAAAAAATATCTTTAGATCATTGCAGGACCTTCATTTATGAGAGGTGAAACTGTGGAGCTCCTCTTTGTTCCTGCTGCTCCCAGGGTACAATTACAAGGAATGAAATGATTTCATATAGATGTATGTTTGTGTTTCTTCTGCTTATTTATATCAATAGAAGCCTGTTGAGCAGAATTTGCTCTTATTACATGCTATGGAGTCAAGCCATTTCATTTTTTCTCTACTTTAACCTTGATTTTTTTTAAAAAGGCCACTGCAGCATTTCAGTACATCTTGGGATTCATACTAAAGCACTTTCGAAACAAGTATCAGCACTGCATGTAACTTTGATAAAATATACATGAATCCTAGAGAGAGCTCTGCAACAGGAAGCTAAAGGGTTTTTATTTGATTGAGGGCACTGCTTAGGCTGGTGGGGTTCCTTTGTGTGTTCTCCTGCGTAGGAAATAGCTGTAACCCTATAATCTATTGGCAATACAGTGACACTGTGAGCCGTCAGGGGGAGATTTAGTGCCGAAATCAAACCACACTTTGGACGTCTTTCCGACTATGCTCGTTTCATTTGTCTTTGTGTTTCTGTGGAGGCGAGGAAGGTGTGAGAGTAAAAGGAGTTTGGGACAGGCATGTGGAGCAGGGGTGTGTCACAAATAGGTCTTGTCTTTTTAGGGAAGGACCCAGTCATATGTACTTTCTCCTGCTTTCCCGTTAAGTGCATTCACTATCCACAGAGCTGGAGGAGAGTGATTCCTTGTCCCCCAAAATGAAATCCCATTTAAAACTATTCTGCCCTCTTCTAAGGGCTTAAATCTTTTTTTCACTATTCTGTAATGCTTTAGGGCACAATATAAGTAAAAAGCAAGGAAGGGACTTGTGACTTGGCTCACCAAACAAGTGCAGAAGTCGGAGCACGTTTGAGAGATTTCTCCTGTGGTTTGTAAAGCGGCATTCCTGGCAGCAAAGTGCTGCGGCCAATATGGTATTGTTTTCTGCTCACTGTGGAGGGAGCTCCCTGTTGTTCAGAAGCCACAGATTGTCATGCTGCTTTGAACCTTTCCTTGCTGCTGTCTTGCCTATTTTGAGGCTTTTATTACTTTGTTAGTACACCTCAGCCAGGCCTCCTCTTCTAGCCAAAGAGCCATCTTACTGTCTGTGAGCATCTCTCTGAAGTACTGGGGCAAATCCCCGCCCAGCGCAACAAAGCCAGCACAAGCTGAGGCACCGCAGCTTCACCTCTGGAAGCATGGCCAGAAAAAAAGAGAAAAAGGGAACTTCTGTGGGTGAGTCATCCCAGCACTGCAATAACGCTCAGATCGGATTTGGCCCCTCAAGGTATCACAAAATTAAAGCAGCTTTAATTTCTACTGAGAAGCTGCATGTAGCAGAGAGTAAGAATGATTCTAGTTCTTTCTTTGCTCAGACATCCACTGGGACATGTGCCGAGCACTCGCTGTGACAGCCAGGGGCTGCAGTCCATACAGATACCGCCTGCTCAGGTTTAATTTTAGATTCTTTTATTTCCATTTAGATATGTTTTCTTGCCTTTTCCCTCCCTTTTGGAAACACATCCGTCATCGTGCTCCTCTGAGAAGTAATGTATCCCGTATGGATGCCATGTTATTTAGTATTTATATTCCAGAGGAAGTTGCCTAAGCGTAACTTCCTCAAGTACTTTCACAGATGGAGTCGTCTCATGCAGTCCGAGTGAGTGCGAAGGAGAAAAGCTTTCAGGAAAACTGGAATATGTCCCGGAGCCATTGCCGGAGCTTCCTGCATATGTGAGTCTTTGGTCTGAGGTCACTTCAGATCCCCTAGCCTTGTTTCTCTTCCCATAGTCTCTTCTTCCGCTTTTTCAGTTCCTCACCCCTGCATGCTGTTATGGAGCAAGCTCTGTGGCACAGAGGGATGAAGACACCGCTCCTGCCCACGGTGTAGTCTCTCCCCCAGACTTGCTGGACATCTAGCATAGCAGAAAAAAGCTTTACTCTGCTGCCCACCAACCCCTGCCTAGCAGCTATACCTGGTAAGGGGTGAGGCTGGGCTTCTGCTTGCATGCAGTTTGGCAGCTGGTGTTTCCTCTTTGTGCTAAAGGTGTGTCAGCCGTGAAAGATACTCTGGTAAAACCAGTCACCATAAAGCAACTCTCCCACACCACTGCCCTGCTTTCCTAGCTTCTGAAGTGGTCCGTGAAGAACAGAGGGACACTGCTGTCTTCTTATCTACCTCCATATTCACAGACATCACAGAGATCTAGATCTCTGGTTTTCAAGACCACCCATGCCTGTAAAAATGGGATGCTAATCAGGAAGGATCATAAGGATAACCATATTGGGTCACACCAAAGGGGCATTTAACTCCAAGTCTGATGAAACAGAGACAATAGAAAAAGCCTTTCTGATGAGACAGAGCCAACGGTGAACATCCACACACTCAATTCCATCTCTTCTGCTTCGTTAACGGGCCATGGGAGAAACAGCAGTCCAGAAGAGGAGCGAAAGAGGCAGAAACATTGAGCCTGGCAGGAGCAGGCAACAAGGCATGAGACTAGAGAAAAAGTCATGCAACATGCAAGAGCCAGGCAGGGGCATGTTCCAGATTTTAACCAGAGGAAAATGTATCAACACCGCTCCGGAGCAGAGAAGGTGCCTCATCTTCTGTTGGCACAGAGCCTCAACTGTAGAAACACAATCAAGTTGCTCTTAAGCTGCTTCAGCTGAATTAGCTTTGCTCTCAGAGTAATTGGAACAAGCTGAAAGAATTACTATTTCTCCATTCTTTATACAGATTTTATTAAGAGAACAAATGAGCGAGGGTAGAATTAAGCAAACATTTCACTAAGATTAACCTGCTCTAACCTCACTAAAGGATTAGGAATGGAACAATACAGTGATCAAATCAGGGTCATAACTAGGGCTGAATCAGCAAGTCTAGAGGTTTTAATTACGCACACACCAAATAAATCCAGCAGCAGGCCCCCTAAATCAAAGCACAAGTCCGCACTACCTTTCATGAGAACAATCTGCTTTGGGTTAATTCTGCATCAAGGATTAAAGAGGAAGCTGCTTTCCCTCCTGGTACAGTCCCAAGCAGTGCTCTAACGCTGGGTGCACCGAAGCCGAATTGCAGCACCCATCTCCAAGGGTCAGACAAGGATGGTTTTTCCCCAGCTACTTCTCTTGTCGGTGGTTTGTCACTCCCAAAGGTCCCTTCTGCATCGTGTTCCCTGTGGCCGCATAGGGAGGAGGAACTCTGAGGCTTGGAGTGCCTCGGGTCTCCAGCTGGGAAAGACAAGGGAGGATGGGTGCCCAGCAGGGCTGCCGCCGACTCGATGCTCTCCTTTTCGCTATTGCCACTGGTATGCCTGAGCCATTGTCATTCTTACCTCATTAGCATTATTAGCTGCAGCAATTAAAAATAAAGCATGAAAATGTCAGCAACGATCATTACTTGGAGGCACTCAACAGCTGTAAACTTATTGGAGCTCCTCATTTGTTTTCCAAAATTGTATTAGGCCTGCATTTTTCAAAGGCTGCACATTATTTTTAATAACATTGAAATGTTTGTTTAATATGCGTTTCCTCACTAGCAGTTTGGGTCCCTGCTATAAGCTGTTACTGCCTTACTAAAAGAAAATTCAGTGTATTTTTGAAAATGTTATTAAATATACAGAAATTTTGTGGAAAACCATGGAATGTAAGCAATAAAGCAGTATCCTCCTGGGGCTTTTTGTCTGTAAGCAATTAAAAAAGAAACCTGGGTTACTGAAGTGGGAATTCTGCACTTGCCTTGCAGGTTCTGTTGAGGGAAAGGGGACTGGCTTGTTATTAGAGGGACAGCTTTGGCTGGGAAGGAACCCCAGCCTAGAGAAAATCACCAATTCAGTCTGTGTCCCACAGTGAAATCCTAATGCAGAAGGCTCCCTTGCAGACCCAGAGAGGGAGAAGAAACAGCATTTACCTACCATAACGCAATGGCAAGGCAATCGGAGAATAAATATGGCCTGTCTGACTGTTCCCTGAGTGCCATGAGGTACAACCTTTGCACTATCTCATGCTAGCAGGGATCCAACTTGCACATACACTATCTTCTTTTCTCTTGGCATTGTTTCCGGGTAAACTGCAAAGCAAAAATTGCAACTGGGTTAAATAGATTTTTGCTGCATATTCCCTTGAGCCCAGCTTTTGGGAATGTCTGGCACAGAAGTAAAGCTCTAGATAACCCTTTAAAATTATTTCACACACCCCATAAAAGCTTGAATTCAAGATTCTATTTGAATTACTGAAAACGTTCAGGAAGACAATACCCCAGATAGGGGATATCTAGTAGTGAGGAATACAGCATAGCAATTACATGCCAATAAACTCA